CCTGAAAGCCTGGATATAGGCTTTCCACCCAGGACTCCAGAACTCTCATCAAATCTACTCTAACTGCTGTTTTTCAAAGATCTGAAAATGGAACTTGGGAGATGGTGGTAAGAGGGAGTAAACTGGGTTCCACGGTCACCTCCTCCATGAAGGTTTTCCTCCACCTGACTTGGAACACACTCACTCCCTTTATGTCCTCTCTGTACCTTGTACAGACTTCTACTGTAGCTCCTATAATGTGTTAATGAGTGTATTTGTTACACATCTAAATCTCCACCCGAGTATGAGCCCTTTAAAAGGAAAAACTCTTCTCCAACTCTGTATCCTCAATACCTAGTCCAAGTGAGCGGCAATGAATGTTTAGTGGACGGCTGAGTGGGTGGAAAGAAGGATGGGAAGAAGACAAAAAGATGGATGAATGGTTGGATGGATGGAAATGTTCATGATGAATGAATAGGAGAAAGGATGGATGGATGGAAATGTGAACAGATGGAAGGATGAAGGGAAAAAATGGAGGGACGGATGACAGGATACCATAAAAAAAGATGAGAGCATGAAAGTAAAATTTAAGTAAGGACAGAAGGATGGAGAAATGGAAGGAAGGAATAATAGGTGAATAGAGAGATCAGTGGAAAGATGGAAGAATGAAAGGAAAGACAGATGGTGTGGGGGTATATAGTTCTAGCAGTGGATGGATGAATGACTAGATGGATTGAGTCATAGTTAGAGATATGAATACAATGACTTGGTGGAGGATGAAAGAACAAGATGAACAAATTCCATTTTCAAAGTGTCCATAAGGGCCTGTCTGGGTTCCCCATGGCCAGTATGTTAAGTTCTCCGACTCTGCTATTACCAAAACCTCCAACCATATCTTGTAATAAAGACTCTGATGTTCAGATGAACCTCCCAAGAAGGCAGCCTGGCTTGCTGTCAGGCATGGTTCATTCAGGGGACCGCTGTCCTGAAGGCCCTCTCTGCCAGCACAGGCAAGGCAATGCCCGGGCAGGGAGAGATGTAATCCGACCCCAGATGTGTGCAGATGTGCCCATTTCCCTCTCCTGCATCTGATTTGAAGAGCCCAGTGCCCAAATTAAACTTAAAATCATTCCCCACATGTGCTTCTGTTCACCTGCTCCCGCTCCTGGCCACACCTGAGTGCAGAAGGCAATGGTACAATTTGAATGGCATGACGGGACAGTGAAGAATATTCACGTGGACCCACCCTTCCTCTATGAGTACCAGGTCAGTGATGGGTCCGATCCGTCAGAAGATGGGGTGTGGGAAGGGGGAGTGGGAGGAAGGTGCCATTGAATGTGGAGACACCAAGCCATTGACTAAACTCTCTCTTGTAAGCAGAGATTGCTCCATCCACAGGCATCTCTGGAGCTTTCCCCACCCCCTCCCCAGGCAGAACCTGGATGCCTCAAACAAGTCTCTAATCCTTTGGGGAAAGATCTACCTCCTCTCCCATTTGAGGCAATGAAATATTTGTCTCTTCTCTCCTTGGTCTTGTGGCAGAGTCGTTTCATGATTTAGTGGAATGTTTATATATTGCGTGGATACCCATGGCCTTGACACACCATTCCCAGAAGCCAGCCGCGGTACACCCCCTTCCCCAGCAACCCCTTAGTCAGCCATCTTTTGCACAGTCGCTCACTGTGTGTGGCCACGGGTTTGCAGAAACAGCTCAGCAGAGCTATGCGGATGTATGAGAGGCGGATCGAGTGGCTCTCCTTGGCCAGCAGAAGAATCTGGGGCACCGTCTGTGAAAAAAGGTACCTTCCCCCAAGCAGTGGTCTTGTCCTTTTGAGGTCTGGTGTGTGACACAGCTCTTATCCGACTCACAAATTCCCTGTTGGTAGCATCAGAAGCCATCACTTAGATTAAGGATTAGGTTAAGAATAAGATTTCAGCTATCACTCAGCAGAACCCCTGGAGGAAAAAAAGTCACCACCATCATCATCAACATCAATAATATCATCATTGTGTTACTCAGGATTCTTTCCATTAAAAGGCATCAGAAACTAAATGTAAATTGGCTTCAACAAAACAGGGAAATCTGGTTAAGGTAGCAGAAAATTCTAGGCTAGATTTGATAGGTGTCTTCAGGCATGGCTCGATCCAGAGGTTCACGCATGTCAGGAATCTACATCCATCTCTCAGCTCTGCTTTCTCCTCTGTTGGCTTTGTTTACAGGCAGACTTTCCCCTCCAGGTGGCAACATAGCCACCTGAAGCTGCCAACTTACTTTCTACCAGTTTAGCACTCCCAGGGCTTGGGGCATGGACCCATCCATGAACTATTCACTCTGGCCATGTGTGTGTGTGTGTGTGTGTGTGTGTGTGTGTGTATGTGTGATGTTCTAATTGCTTAGGGTCAAATGCCCACCCTTGAAGGCTTGGGGTGGGGTCAGCTCCACTCCACTCAAATGGACTGATAGAGGCAGAGGTGATTCCCAAAGGAAAATCAGGATGTTCTTGCCAGAAGAGGTAATGGATGCTGACTGTGGAGGGGCAGTAGGTTTCCATTGCAGCTGTCATTATCATTCCTTACCTTATTTGATGTCACCATTCAGAAAGTATTATAATTTGTAATATTATACATCTATTATATTGTTTAATTCTCAAAACAATCCTATGAGGAGTCTTATTATAGTGTATAGTCAAATATTCCAAAGATCAGAGAGGTTTTGTGACTTGCCTAAGGCCACACAGAAAGTGGGACTTGAACCAAGGTCTTCTGACTCTAAATCCAGTGGATTTTCTTTTGCTATCCATAGCTGTCTCAAAATGAGAATGGAGGGAGGAGGTGGGAATATAAGATTTGAAGTAATGAAAGAAGAAGGCTGAATGGGGCTAGAGATCTTAAAACAGAGAGAGGAAACAAAAAGATACGAACATTTCCCCAGAGGCCCAGATACACCTAATTCCCCGTCTAACTTGCTTACCTTGTTTCTGTTTTCCCTACAAAGACCCCAGCCTATAATAATGTTGATGCTAGTTCTTTAAAACAAGGAAATGTATGAAAATCATTGTACGCAGCCCCTGCCCCTTAAATCGTCTCCTCCATGGGACTTGATTCCATGACAGAACCTCCTGGGAGAGAAGTTTCCCCGACCCCCTTAGTGTCCTGTTGTAAATCTACCTCTGTTGACCTCAAACCATGAAGAAGATTTTGGCCAGCTGTGACTTTGGCATGCAAAATTCCCCTGGAAAAAACTTTAAATAGTAAAATGGAAGAAAATAAACCCTATCTGAGAGATCCGGTTCTCCTCTTAAAGCTTGTGTTTCTTTTTAGGGTGGTTATACTGCTGGATATCTCCGTGACCAATTCCATGTACATTATTCATATCCAGCACTCCCTGCGGCTTCTGCTCGAGGAGCAACTAGCCAACAAGGACTGCTTCAACGTCATCGCGTACGCTCCCGGTGGGGCGTGGGGGCAGCGGCGTGGTCCGTGCGCGTGTGGTGCCGTCGCTGGGCTGAGACTTCTGGCAGGGTGCTAGTTAGATGTTACGAGCACCCCGCCTCCGAGGATGGCCGTCAGTTTATCTGATTTGAATGATCTTCTTTGGGGCATTGAATAATTAAATAGTTGCAGGACCGTCCCACTGGGGCGAAGGTGATAAGCGGCCCCAAAACACACTGCTTGATCAGCCAGGATAAAGTAACTCAGCTCCTTGACCCATTTGGCTTCCAAGCTGATGAACACAGAAGAGAAAAAGAAGGGCCCCCAGGCACACCCTAGTCTTCGTTCCCAGCTCGGGTCTAGCAAGGCACAGTATTGCAAACATTTAAGATTCCAATTCTAAATTTTAATTATATATAGAGCTATATACAATTAAATTAAACTATAATATATATTTAAATTATATATTTTTGTATATTACACTAAATGTCAACAAA